TTTTTTTTGTTTGCATGTGCGTTGGTGCGTATGCATGCTTGTATGTGTTTGTGTATGTGCATGTTTGTATGTACGTCAGTTTACATAAGTATGTTGCTGTGTGTATATAAATTATATAAGCTTGTTATGTATTTATGTATGTATGTACGTTCATTTGTGTGTTTATCTCTATGCATGCTTGTATATGCATGTATGTATATTTGTTTGTATGTATGTATATATGTATGTATGTGTGTTTGTTTGTTTCTATGTATATATGTATGTGTGTGAGTTTGTATGCATGCATGTATGATTATTTTTATGTTTGTATGTATGTGAAGGTTCTACTTTCTCTATATAAACATATACTTATAACTTTGCTTTTAAAGCTCTATATAAATTTCTTCATCATTATTAACATGATATTTCATATCTATGTAAGCAATTCGGAGCATAGATCATATACCAAAACAATAGAACAATAAATAACTAAGCGACGAAATGGAAAGGCAACCGCGTTAAGATTGTACAATCTGCACATAAACCCCAAGCACAAGTACAACACAACTGTCAATAATAATAATCACAATAATAATAATAATAATAATAACAAATGGCAATAACAAAGAAGTAGAATAACAAAAATCATACAATAAAGAATTACGGGAACAAAGAATCAAAAACATGGAAAACCACGTCATGCCATAAATAAACGGAAAACAAACAAATGCGCCATCTTTAAACTTCCGCTCCAAAGACTCTCAATAGACGAGGCGTAGAAGGTAGGAACCGGAAGAAGATCATAAAACAAATAGCAAGTTGATGCTTTTAATCCCTGCTGAACAGATGATAGTAAATTGTCGCACGGCGATGAACGCACTTCTATTGACGATGTCTGACGGTGTGTCTATGTGTGTGTGCCCATGCCTCTGTGTGTATCTGTGTGTTTGTGTGTATGTTTGTGTGTGTGTGTATCTGTGTGAGTGATGGCCTATTACGACGAATATGATCGGTTGGTCGGTGTTAATTTAACGATCCTAGCTCATCTATTCGGTTTCGCTGTGATGCTTGCCACTGTTCACGGCGCTAGAGTTTGTAATGAGAATGATGGTGATGATAAGGACGAAGATGAAGATGATGAGAAGGATGATGAGGATGAGGAAGAAGAAGATGATGAGGAGGAAGAATAGATGATGATAATGATTATGGTGGTGACGACGATAGTGATTGTAAGGATAGTTTTAATAATGAAAAATATTAGAAATACAGTTATGACGATTACGACGAATAAGATTTAAAATAAAAAGACGAAAATGATACAATAATAATATCAATAATAATCAAAATTAATAGTATTATTATTATTATTATTATTATTATTATTATTATTATTATCTCAACTCCTATGGCTGTGCCTACTATAGCAGATCATGATAAAAAAATGATAATAAAAAAATGATGACGGTGATAAAAAAAATAGCACAGCCCTAACATTATTATCAATAATAACAACGACTTCATTACAGCACTACATGAAATAAAAATCATTTTTATACCAATATCGCAATAGTACACACAAAAAAACTCGATAATAATCGACCACTACACACGCAATACTCGATACCGACTCGACTCGAACCGACTCGAGACTTAGGCTCAAATCTCGGTATGAACATTTCTCTTTGAAATTTTTATTGCCTTGAGTAAGAATAACTAGTGGCTTTCCATATTCCTTTGAAGTTGTAAAAAACGGAAGGAAGAAAAAAATTACCATACTAAGCTTTCTGGAAAGACGACAAGTAGTAGTAGTAGTAGTCGTAGTAGTAGTAGTAGTAGAAGCAGCAGCAGTATTAGTAGTAATAGAAGTATTAACAGCAGCAGTAATAATATTATTAATAAAGGTATAGTAGTAGTAGTAGTTGTAGTAGTAGAAGTAGTAGTAGTAGTAGTAATAGTAGTAGTAGTAACAGTAAATATATTTTTGTTGGTACAATACTTTGTAGTATTTTAATATACAATTATTAACATTAGTACTTCTACTGCTGCTGCTACTACTACTACTACGCTACTACTACACTACTACTACTACTACACTACTGTTACTACTACTACTAATACTACTATACTTTTAATCAACTTGAATTAGCAAAAACAATATTTTTTGAAAACCTTGAAATAAGTGCAACACCCAGAAGTGCAGAGCTCATATAGCATCATCGCCACCATCACCATACTTAATAATTTTTACATGATATTTATTTCTCATCCATATTCTTATGTTTATTTTATCATTATTTTATTTATATTCGTTGCATTATTATAATTATTTACGTTATCATCATCATCAACATCATCGTCATCATAATCAACTTTTTAACACTTCAACAAATTTTCATCATCGTTCCAATGCTATTTTATTATCGTCATCACTGTCATCATCATCATTTTTTTCTTCCATCGCTATCACTATCATGATCATCGAGATAATCATCATCATGATCATCGAGATAATCATCATCATGATCATCGAGATAATCATCATCATCGAGATAATCATCATCATCATCGAGATAATCATCATCATCGAGATAATCATCATCATCGAGATAATCATCATCATCATCATCGTTTTCATCGTCTTTTTTTCTGCAATTCTTACATCATTGTTAAAGCGCATATTTTCTTCTTTGCCGTCATCATTATCAACATAAGCCTCACGTCTTTGTCCCTCTCTTTGTCCCTCTCTCTCTCTCTCTTTCTTGTTCTCTTTTTCAATCTTTATTTTCAATTAATTTTAACTTCTCTCTCTCTCTTTCTCTCTCTCTCTCTCTCTCTCTCTGATCTCTTTCTTGCATTTCTTATTCATAATTTTATGTTATCTTTTAAATTCTCAATTTCCTTTCAATTTTTTTCTTCTTCTCACTTTCTCTCCCCACATTTATCTCTCTCTTTCTTTCTTCACACTATTTTTTCCACTTTTTCTCTCTCTCTCTCTCTCTTTCTCTCTCTCTCATCAAAGTAATCTAGTCACGTGTCTGATGACGTCATCGCAAACAAACGCTGCCCACCAGGCGCCTTTATCTGTCATTTTGGACGTCGACGCCATTTTGTCATTGTTTATATGCAGCGTTAAATAGGCCACCGGCCAACCACCAAAGCAAATGTTTACATAGATATATAAATAATAATAAATGTTTACATAGATATATAAATAATGATGTTCACACATGAATATATATCCATATATATCCATGTGTTTACATAGATATATAAAAATATTGATGTTTATAAATAATGATTTTTCCATGGATATTAAAACAATGATAAATGTTTTCATAGATATGTAAAGAATTATGTTTACATAGATATGAAAATGATTGTGTTTACAATGATATATAGACCTTGGATAATGTGGGAGAATTGAAAATTTATCTCATACCTTTCATTTCAAATCATCTGCGGCAAAGAAGCTAGAAATAACATTATTTGGACAATTGCATCTCTATAAATAATTGTAGAAGTGGTAGTTGTAGCAACGATTGCAGCAGTAGTAGCAGTGGTAGCGATTGTTACTGCATTTGTAGTAATAGTAGTAGTAGTACTTAATAGAAGTAATGATGATTGTAGTTGCGGCATTTTTAGTAGGTTGCATCGAAAATAGTTAGAGAACAGAGTTTTAATTATAACGAGAGACATGGTGGAATCAGTATCAGTGTTAGTAGCAGTATAGTAGGAAGAGTAGTAATTCATTGTTGAAGTAGTAATTAAATAGTATTTGTCGCTTGCTGTAAAACAGAGGAGAACTTAAATAATTAATTCCGTCAGCTATTCGAAGGTAATCAAAATTAAATAACAAAGAACCATAAAAAAATAATACTAATAACAAAAATAAAAACAACAATAACAACAGAGAGCGATAATAGAGTCTAGTACGCGGTCATATTAACAAAGACATATAAACGCGCGTAAACAAAGAACAAAAACCAATTTTATGATCTGTTTATTATTCTCTGTAGTGCTGTCTTCCACAAAGATTATTAGTCTCCGTGATTTGTAACCACGGTTACGTCATTTTAGTAGTAGTAGTAGAAGAAGTAGCAGCAGTTGCAGTAGTAGTAGTGGTAGCAGCAAAAGTAGTAGTAAAATTAATAGTAGTATTAGTAATGGTTAAATTCGCAGCAGTTTTAGTTTTAGAGTTTTGCGTATTTTTATTAGCAGTATTTAAACAAGTTAACGCTATATTAGCATAATCAACAACAGCTTCAGTGTTTACAACGTCTTAAACAAGCACAGCCACAACAGCCACAACATCGACCATCTCAGCCACAACAGCCACAACAATGCCTACTAAGTTAAATGCTCAGTTGGACGGACAATTTTCAAGCGTGCCTCTTATGTTAACTGTCTCGTTCTCTTGTTTATCATCACTTTCATCCTCCTCATTCTCGTCATCGTCGTCGTCGTCGTCGTCATCGTCGTCCTTGTTTTGTCGTCATCTTCATCAACAGTGTCGTCATCACCACCAACCTCACCAACCACACCAACCACATCAACAACACCAACCACACTAACCACATCAGCCACACTAACCACATCAGCCACACCAACCACATCAACCACACCAACCACATCAACCACACCAACCACATCAGCCACACGTTATCGTTGTCGTCGTCATCATTCTTGAAAGCACAATCGTCATTACTTATAGTCGTCATCGTCATCGTCATCATCAGATTAGTCAGGTGTTCAGTTTATAGCGCTCATATTTCTACTGTGCTAACTAAATCAACAACAACAATCAACATAACAGCAACAACAACAACTACTACTATACTACAACAACAACAAACACAATAATAATAATAACAATAAATATTTTAATATAGTATTATTTCCAGCATTTTCACGATGTTCATCACCATCATCATCTTCTTCTTCATCATCATCATTTTCATCACTATCATCATCATCATCATCATCATCATCAACATCAACTTGTACAGGTTGAACCATATTTAATGATAGACGACTATTCACCCTCGCCGTTATCATCATCATCGTTTTTGCCATCATCGTCAAAGACATCATTAAATTTCCAAAAAAACAAAACTGGAAAACCGCGTTTCTACGGCTACCTACCGGAAATGCTTCAAACAATGTCGGAACAGATGAACTTTCGGTATGATTACCATCTGGTGGCTGACGGAAGTTACGGACTTGTAAACGGAAACGGAAGCTGGAACGGGATGATTGGTGAACTTATCAGAGGGGTTGGTTTGGTTGTGTCATGTTAATTTTTCAGTCTGAGCATCGTTATCATCATCATCATCATCGCAATTGTCATTTGTTTTCATTGTTAACACCCATCACCATAATTATCATTATAACCATCACGTTCACCATAATCACCATCATCTTCATAATCATCATAAGTATATAATATCATCATCGCCATCATCTTCTCAACCATATTGATGATGATGATCATCATCATCATCGTACTCTTCCTCGCCATCACAATCATCACCAGGAGGCCGATATAGCGGTAGCTCCACTGCTTGTGATTGACAACAGGAAACCTTACGTCGACTTCACACTTCCATTCCTCAACTGCCAGACCTCCATTCTAATTAGGAAAAACTTCAAAGTAGTAAAAGTACTATAATAATACTATATTACTACTATCTAGTATTAATTTATCATTATTATTCATCAACATTATTACTACTATTCCATTTATTATTAATTTATAGCTAATAACAATATTAATTATCATGCATATATTTATAGCTCAAAACCATTGAAGATCTGCTCAGCCAATCAGATTTGAAGTTTGGAACGATAAGGCGGGGCGTCATTCCACGCTCGTGCAAGAGGTCCAATGATACGACCATGAAGATTCTCTGGAAACGTATACAACGGTAAAATGGTGGCAGTGTAATGGTGCCCCTCATATACCATTCATTCAAGTGACACTCACACACACACACAAGAAAGAGAGAGAGTGAGAAAGAGAATGCGTGTGTGAAGATTGGAGATGTAAAGAAAGAGAGAGAGAGAGAGAGAGATAGATATATATATATATATAGAGAGAGAGAGAGAGAGAGAAAGAGAGAGAGAGAAAGAAAGAAAGAGAAAGTAAGCAGATGCATATGAACCAACCCAACATATTTTTGAGTTTTTGTGTATGACAAACGGGGCATGGAACCGTAATGAAAAAAAATGATAATGAGAACCTAATCACCTCACAATTCTTACAGTTCTCTACCAACGAATGTTTTAACATTGGCACTAAGCTCGCAATAAGTCTTTTAAACGGGTCTCCAATCATATAAAAATGTTTGTAAGAAGACGTGTAAAAAAAATTAACCACAAAAATGTTTCCTTTGTTTGGTTTAATGGTAAATGGGGTCTTCATTCATTCTAAAATTGTAACTTACCTAAGAAAAACTAATACCATATTCTAAATCAGGGTGTCGAATTGGAATGAAACCGGCTGAAAATATCCTGGCAGCAAAATAACTGTTAACTTTTGTTATTCTTTATTAATTAACACAAGTAATTTGGGTCTTACAAACATCGCTATATTTCAGTTCATTTGTTTCCTGCAAATTTCATCACATTAACGACACGGGAGCAGTCTGATGGATGAACATCTTTTGAATCTTAAATTATAAAAAAGTACTGAACAAATTTATTGACGTCTCTCAACAACTTACCAAATATTATAAAATGTTTTTTAAAATGTTTTACTTCACTGTTCGAATTCCACTGAAATATTTTTTCTTTCCCTTCATTGTTATTAACATTTTTGCAGTTTGTTGTTGTAAATTGCAAAAGTTGTATTTTCTGTTTTATTTTCACATTTACATCTTATACTCTAATCTTTCTTGTTTTTAAAAATCTTTGGAATAAGTTACGTATGCTTTCTGCTTTCATAGGTTTTAACGTGTTTACAATTTTGGCATTGTTTCAGAAAGGAATCGTATGATATTGTTTCGGAAGAGTTTATGAACACTCCGGAACTATTTTGTGGTTTAGTATAAAATGCTGCTGTTTGATTATTACGTTAGTGATGAAAGCCACAACGAACGACTTTACTTGGTGCAAATGTAACGCGGTAAATACGTTCGTTCGTTTGTTAAACCGTCAAATAAAATGTCCACATTCAAATCAAAATAAAATTTGTGGCAAGTTTGGAGCCGAAATCCAAGCTCCTAACAAATGCAGGCCATGGGCATTTGTCCATTGGTTAATCAGGCTCGCATTGGCACTATCATAATCATTATCAGCACGATCATAGTTATTATCAACACCATTCTCGTCATCATTATCATCACCACTATTTCTGTCATCCTTATCATCATCTAGCCACGCCCCAGAAGTTATGACGTCAACAAACGAGGAGGGCATAGAGATGGTGAGAAGGAGCAAGTTTGCATTTCTCCTCCCTGACGTCATCGGTTATAATTTTAAAAATTATTATTATTATTAAAAATGTTGTTGCTATTATTATTGTTGTTGTTTAAAATTTATATTAAATGGCGGACGTATCAAAGCGTGATTAACAGTGAACAAAAAACTTTTGATTAATAGAATGAATTCCGATTAATGTAAAGAAATAATTTTTCCTTGATACTTTAATAATTTTCGAAATTTAAAAAAATGACGACGGTGAATTCGCTCAACAGGTGAATACATATCAGGCCAGAAACCGTGCGACCTCATCAACATCGGTCCTCTGCCGCTGGCTCCGAAAGGTTTCGGATTTGCTCTTCCCAAACATTCGCCCTACCTGTCTGCCTTCAACCGAGTTATCCGGAACCTCAAGAAATCCGGATACTTGGATCGATTAAAGGCTAAGTGGTGGACTCCAGAATGTTTGAGTGACAAATTTGTAACGGATTCCAGATTAAAAAGTCGTAGTGGTAAAAGTGGAAATGCTTTGTTGAGATCCGGCCGACCGATTATATTCGGAAGTAGCGGTGTATCGTCGGTGTTTTTGGCAAAAAGTAAATGGTTATTAATGGATTATTGTTTCAATACAATTTATTTAATGACTCTTTTCGATTTATTCAAAAATTATTGCTGACCGATATAACCGTGTTTTTTTCTTTAATGTTTCTTATTTTCGTCGTTTTTGTTTGCTCAATAGAAAGTAATAAAATAAAATTGCGTTCAATTATGAAGAATATTTTAATCAAAACTCAAAATTTTGTAACACAACAATATTACACTGTAGTTGTGTGTAAATGCTTAAAAATAATAAACTGTGTTACCAAAAACACAATTTGCGGTTGCCAATTTGGCATTCATACTTTGGCAACACTGAAAATTTGGAATTTATAATTTTTTCAGTAGCCATTAGTGCATATAGATGGAAATAAACACGAAATAATTTAATTGAAAATCGCGATCAATTTGAACATTTTTACCATCAAACTTTTTTAATTTTTTAATCTGCAAACGTTACGGTCGTTACGGTCAATTAAATCGTGTGTGGATTACCGCACACTGCTTTTTATATTGCATATTTGTTAATATTTTTTAATTTGTGTGTTGAAAAATAGAAAATGTGAATCTCCAAGTTTGTTAAGTTAGTGTTGAATATTATTTTGAAACAAAATTTTTGTTATTACTATTTTTAGAAGTTTAGATATTTTTTTGCCTAAAGTTCGTTTGTTGTTTGTTAATGTTTTTATTTTTAAATGAGATAAGAATATAAGATAAGTTAGTTTAGTGAAGATTAAATTTAAACTTAAAGTTAGTAGCAGCTGAAATGTACTCTAACTACCTACCACCGCCAGACAATGACAATCACTTTGATTCTAGAGCACCTACAAAACCTATAACTTACAATCTTAAAATTTTAATCACTCAATGATCTGCAGTAAGCGACAGATTAAGATTAACTAACCAGAATGAGTGAACAATTTGAGTTAGATGTCGTTAACATCTTCGAGAGGAACCCAACTCCAGAAACTGAAGCTGATGTTGTACTAGTCGGCCAAACATCATCCAATCTACTTCCACAAAGACATGTGGCCCCAACACTATCATCTTTATCGACATTATCATCTCCATCATCCCCATCATCACCGCCGAGCAAGCCAACTACATTACAGACGAGTGAAGCCCCCAGCGACGTGGATATACATTTCAACGGAGATTTGGTAACTGCATCAACAGCTGTAACATTGACAACATTACCAGTTACAGCAACAACAACGTTGATGATCATGAGGAATGATTACAACTCCACAAATGACTATATTGACATTAATAACAATAACATTGTCGACACTGATCGACAGATTGTTTCATCATCAACTGCAGTTTACATTCATCCAATGATTACAGCCACAACAACAACATTAATATCAGCAACAGCAACAACATTTTCAACACTGTCTGCATCAATAGCACATTTTACTTCGCAAACATCGCCAACGATGGCATCTTCATGTACCTCATTATTGTCATTAACATTGCCATCTACATCATCTTCGTCGTCATCATTGACATCGTCAAATTTTTTGTTGACTTCTTCACAATCTTTAATTTCAACAAAAACATCATCAACATCTTCACCATTATCAGCTACGTCATCAACAACAACATCACCTGACCTCAACTTAAGCAATATCTCCCCACTCACTTATTACAACAACAACAGCAACAACGTCAACAACAACAACAGCACGACATCAGTTGGTATTAACAAAAAGAAACAGAAAAACCTCAATGACATCATCATCAAAATGCTCAATGACAATGCTAAATCAACAAACAACAACGTCAACACTGTTGAGGATAGCATCAACAACATCAACAACAATGACAACGTCAATGTAGCTGATAACAACAACGACAATGTTAATGTTATCAACGACATTCAAAATCAACCTAACATTAACGACGACAACACTCTTATTACTAGCAACAATGAAAACAACAAAAAAATTATTGATGTCAGGGCCAGTGATGACGATAGACATATTGAGGACGGTGCTAATTTTAAAAATCATTGCCACTCAGCCGAATTTTATCTACATAATAATACCTCCTTAATTGGACATATTACTACTAATACTACTGCTGCCACTACATTTACTGCTACTACTGCTGCTGCTGCTGAGTCTGTTGCTTTGCCTGGTGCTACTACTGAAAATACTTGGAGTACAATTGCTACTTTTGCTGCTGCTACTTTTACTACTGCTAATTCAACTACTGCTACTACTGATTATGTTGATAACCTCAGCCCTTCTTCTACAATTGCCACTTTATCTTTTATTACTTCTACTACAACAGATTCAGCTATTACTTCTAATACTGCTCTTACTACTTTAAATGTTCTAGATGCTGAAAGTAATTTTGTTGATGCTACCACTGCCGCCACTACTACTACAACTGCTGCTGCTGCTACTTTTAGTAACGCTATTGCACCTAGTAATAGTAATGATAATATGGATTATGAGGGTGATGACGACGACGACGATGATGATTATGGAAATTTAGAAATCCACGTTGATGATTGTAGTGATGAGGATGATGAAGAAGAAAAAGAGGATGCTGAGGTTGTTACTGCTGCTGACAAAAATGATAACATGAAACAGTATAAATCTATCAGTTGCCTAACTGATGATGTAAAAGATGGTGATGGTGATGCTGGTATTGACAGTAATGACGATAATGGAATTGCATCTAGGTGTAAACTTAATAACCATAACATCGTAAATGACGATGATGATAATATAAAAGTCAGTGATGGCGCCATTATCAGTGACCATGATGATGATGATGACAATAATAATAATAATAATAATAATGATGATGATGATGATGAAGAGAGAAACAGTAATATAAATGGTAAAGACCAAACATCTTTAATGACGGTGAGGAAGATTGCTGTTGATCCAAAACTTGATGATGCTAATGACGATGAGGACGACAACGATGATGACATTGGTGATTGTGATGATAACACCAAGAATGACATTAATAATAATAATGATGATGATGATGATGATCGTAATTGTCATCAGAAGAATGATAAACATAAAATAGATGAGGGTAATGATAAAAAAGATGATGATGATAAAAATGTTGATGGTGATGATGATTATGAAGATAATGATGGTGTTATTATTAATAATGAGACTTTAAAAAATGTTTCTGAAAAAATTCCTGATGATGATGATGATAGTGTTTGTGAAAAGACCAGGTGTAATTCTATTATTAATTCCACTGTTGCTGCTGCTGATGATGATGATAATCACAACAACAATAATGATAATAATTATATTATCCATGCTGATGATGACATAAATTCAACAACATTGCTTCTTGAACGACAAGATGACATCAACTACGATGTAGATGTTTTAGACGTCACAGCAAAGAGCATGGGATCAGTCAGTGCAGCCAGTAATGACAACAGCACAAATGACAACAACAACAACATCTGCAACACCATTGTGAATGACACTAAGACAAATCACAACAACAATATAGACAACAACAATAACAGTGTGGATATAGCTGCAACAACGACGACAACAACAGCTTCTGCTACTGTTTCTGATTTGCAAATTGAAAGTGTTTTCCAAAGATTAGCAGTTGACGACAGTTGCTACGACAACGATGAAGCTCTTGGCAATGTCATCATTACCAACACTAGTAGCGGTAGTAGTAGTAATAGTGGTAGTAGTAGTAGTAGTGGTGGTGGTGGATATTGTAATGCTGCTAAAGTCCTTACTAATTACGTTAGTAATAGCATCGTAATTGATGGCCTGAACTATAATGACATCAATGTTTGTCCTGATAGCATTAACAATATCAACATTGTTAATGTCATCAATAATAGTTATAACTGTAGGGCGGTTGATGATACGAACAGTAGCAACAACAAGAGCAATCTTGTTGACAGTAGTATCAACAATAACATCAACAGTGTCAGTGATAGCATCAACGTTGATGTAATAGATGTTGTTGACGTTCACGGTGACATCAACAAAAACACTAACCATTCCATCGGCAACATTAACAACAACAAACTAGACTACGACAACAAGGATGATGATGATAAATGTGGAAAGAATAATGCAAACGATGATAATGAAGATGATGATGATGATGAAGAGGATGATGATATCCATGTTGATGATGACATCTCTGATGAAAACAATGTTATCAATCATATTTACGACCATCGAACTAACATTAATGATCATTATAACGCTAGGAACAATAACAACAACAACAACATCAGTGAGAAAAGTAAGGATGATGATGATGATGATAATAAGAATGATAATAACGATGATGATAATAACGATATCATCAACAACATTAATGAGGATGGTAACAATATTGAAAAACCAAATAGAAATAAGATTAACAATGATAATAAGAATGATGAGGACGATGAAAATGACGTTCACACAGTCAGCAAAAATGATAATAAAACCGTCAATGATGATGAGGGTGGTGGTGGAAATAATGGTGGAAATGATGAAGATGATGGTGTTTTGAACTTAGTCGTGGAAAGCAAAGGTAGCGCCAGTGAGTTGGATAGATATCTGCCCAACAACACAGAAGGAGATAGTAGTATTAATTATAATTATTACAATAATTTCTATTTCAACAATAATAATAACAACAGTAACAACAACAATGATAACAATAATGTTAGTGATAATATTAACGTCCATCATAATAATGGAGATGATGGTGATGATGATAAAGATGATGAAGAAGTCAGTAGAGCCAATAATAGAGCTGGTACGAAAGCTCTAGAAAAAAATAAAATTGATGAGGATGATGATGATTATGGCAACGATGATGAGGATGTTGGTGATAATGATGGGAAGAAGAAGAAGATTAGTGGTGATGGCAATTATAAAAATGATAATTTCAGTTTGGCTCTTCACTATCATCAACAACAACAACATCAGCAGCAGCAACAACATCACCAGCAGTACCAACAACAGCAGCAGCAGATGTTAGAATCTTCCTTTCAAAAATGGCAACAACACCAGCAACATTTGCACCCCTATCACAACTTATACCAACAACAACAACATCTTTTTCAACAGGCCCAACAGCAGTTTTATCAGCAACAACTTCAGCATCGGGAGCAGCAACAACATCAACCTTCATCAACACACGCCACAACTGATGACACAGTAACTACAACAACTCAGTCGTGGACACCAACAACATCATTTACATCTTACACAGTTGCAACAACATCTCTCCAGCAAGCACCTTCTTCTTCTTTCTCAAATACATTCTCCTCTTCCACATCATCAACCTCATCTCTCTCCACTTCTGCAACCATCAACAGATCGCATCTGAGTCCAACTTCAGATTTCTACCAGAAAGAAACAGCGAAAACGAAATCGATGTGGCGGGATAAATACCTGGCAGAGGATTCCGGAATGAACTTCACCTCGTTCTCCAGTATTTTCCGCTTAGAGCAGTGCATCAACTCTATAGCTTTCAATCAGCAGCAACTAAACAATAGCTGTGGAAGTAGTGGCGTTGGTAATGGTGGTAGAAAGAAGGCGGAGAAGTTGAAACTGTCTGCTGATGTGGCTAGAGAGTTGCAGTCATTTAGGATGAGTCTCAAAATGCTTGGAAGTGCCGACACCAACAACAACAACACTGGCATCAACAGTGGGACCAACAACATCAACAGTAATTACTCTAATGATATGGCTATGTACAACAGTTTTGATGGCTACAGTCAGAGTAACTTGCCAAATTATCAGACACCTAAGAGTAGTAACAAAGTTGTGGATGATGAGAGCAAAACAGCAAAGTCACACAAGAAAAAAACCAGCAGAAAAGGTAAAAAGAGTAAGGATTCAGAATCTTTGCTGCAGGACGAAGCCCTGACTGCTACTACTGCTACCACACCCCATGTTGAGGCTGCCAAAAATTGTAGTAACGTCTCTCAAACGTCTCAGAATGTTATTCCAAGTAAGGACATCGATGGCGGTGATAGTAAAAAGTCAAAAGCAAAGAAGTCAAGGTCAAGGAAAAAATCGAAAAATGATAATTCAGTAGAAACATTAACCACAACAACACCTACATCAGTAGTAGCAGCTGCATTAGTACCTGCAACTAATACCAATGCAACTTCAGGCATTGTTTATAATTACAACAACTCTTCATTCCTAGACAACGGTAACAACAACAATAACATCAACGATTGTAACAATATAGACATTAACATCGCCGTAACACCTGACGTTATGTCTTGTCAAAGTGAAGTAGCTCCAACATCGGGTCGTAACGTCAAAAATAAAAAATCGTCTTCATCGTCGACGAGAAAGTCTTCCTGCAGCAGTAGGCGGAGTAAGAAGAAATCAAATAAAAATGATGGGATCAGTCTCTCTACGAACGATAATATAGGTGATGCCGTCAATAACAACGGTGACGTCAGTGATAACAATGGTGATGGTGATAACGTTATCAGTGATAGAAGGATGAGTGAAAATATCATTTATAACAAAAGCAGCAGCAGTAGTGGTAGTAACAAGATCATTAAAACATTCGATTACAATAATTACAATGACGACACTTTAGATAACAACAACAACAGCAACAACAACATTGATCACAGCAGCAGCAACCTAGACAAAAGTGAAGCTAGCAAGAAAAAGAAGGACAGAAAGAGGTCAAAAAGGAAGAGCAGTAGGAGTCAAAAATTAGGTCAGGGTCATTCAGAGGAGGTCGAATGTCAAGATCAAGGAAAAAGTTTTTTGAAATCTTCTGAAGTTGAAGCTGCTGAAAAATTTAGCAGGAGGGTGAAGGATGTTGATTCCAATGTGGAAAACAATGTTGATATTTTTGGTAATGACAATAACAAAAACGATAACGATGATGATGATGATGATAATCTTAGTAAAGTTGGTACAGCTTCCGCTATTTCTACTGCCAATATCACAAAGGGTGATAATGATAACAATAATAACAATAATAATAATGATAATAATTATAATGATTATAATAATACTGGTAATAGCAACAGAAACTATTATGCAAATTATGATGACGCAAATTTTAACATGGTCGGTCATCACCATTCATCACGTCATATGTACCCTTCTATCCTCAATTGCGACGACAATCAAAATAACGTAGTTGCTGTTACTAATAATTACACTGCCACCACTACTACTACTACTACTTGTAATAATAATAATAATAATATTAGTGCAATTGATGTTGTAGCAAATGATGTGAACACAAACACATCTAAAGATAGTAGAACATCAATGACATCAACCAACAGTAAGAACAATGCCATCCCGTTTTTCTATGATCCCAGCAAGACTTACTTCTGTCTGACATGTTCCTACAAGGTGAAAAGGAAAGGCCAGCTGATGAAGCACCTCATCAACAGCCACAACATGTACATATGCACCCACTGCAATTCCAACTTCGACAGTCGCGAGCAACTCAATGGCCACTTAATTTTAGTTCACCCGTCGAGATTCGGCAGACGGCTATGCAAACGATGTCATGGTTTGTTTAGGGTGCAGGAAGTGGATGAGCATGAAACGTCTTGTTCCGGTGAAAAACAGGGATGGGCGTGTGACATTTGTGGAAAAAAATTTCGATTTGTTTCATTGTTGAAGAATCACGTTGATAAAGCTCACAAGGGCGTCGGTGATGTTCATTGCAATGATTCTGTTGAGGAGATTGAAGATGGTGGCAGCGCGGTTGAAGAGTCTCTCATTAAATCAGACTCTGATAATAAAAAGAAAAATGATGCAAAAGTATCTGGCATAAGTTCTGCCAAGTCCAAAAAAGTTTCAAAAAAAAGTAAAGGAAACCTGAATTATTTGGATGACAAGGAAGATGAAGCAAAAAAGGAAAATGATAAAAGTTCATCAGTTTCTAAGATGGCTGATGATGTTAACGATACTAGGAAATGCATTCTCCAACATGAGACAGACGTGTCTCCGCCTATCATTACCATGATTAATGCATCATCAGCACCAATGTCGTCTTCACCATTTTCATCATCATCACCACCTCCATTGCCATTGAACTCATCTTTTTCTCCATTCTCACCAAACTCAGCAACTCTTTCACCACTGCCATCCTCACCCAAGCCTCCAAAGTTGCACAAGACAAAAAGCATGAAGCCACAGAGTTTGGAATCTTTCCAGAAGAAGCAGCAGCCCTCTCAACCGCCTCCTCCTCAACTCATCCCCACAACCCCCATGTACACTCCATCTGGCAGGAAGATCAAGTTCTTCCAGTGCGAACACTGCCCCAAATTCTATCGTTCCATGCAGAGTTTGAAGAACCATAAGCTCAAAAATCACGTGAATGATGATGGTAACAATGTTAAATCTCTCAATATTTCTGCGGCCGTTGATGCGACTCCTCATATGTCTGCTGACATCAACGCCGTTTCTATTACTACAACCACTACTACTGCTACTACCGCCAATACTAATAATAACAGTAATGATACAATTGCTAACAACGAAAGCAGTTTCAACAACACCAGTTGCATTGCTGCCGTGACTAACAGTATTAACGCATCAACATCAATCACTTATGCTACCCCTGTGGCTACTGCAACTGTTGACGACGATGATGATCACGTTCCTCCAGCTGATGACAAGATGAGTGGGAGTTATTCAGTTCATGATAGGAGTGATTCAAATACTCTTAATTCATTCCTTGAGAAGATTTGTCCAGGGGATGTTGATAACCTCCCATTATCATCATCAGTCGCTGATAACAAAGTAACAGATGATAACTTGAATAATGAAAATTATGATTTTGACTCAGTGAAGATGAATGAACAGGGCAAAGATATCACCCTAGCAGAACAACAGAATAAAGTTGGCAGTAAAGACAAAAAGGTCAAAAAAAGAAGCAAATCTTCCAAAAAAAATTTATCCAACAGCACTGAACAACTATCAATCTGCACTGACCAACTGACCATGGCTGCTGCAAATTCATTAAGTTCTCCAGAGCCTGTCGGTCCATATCTTCCTGTGGTCACCACCCCTCCTCCATCGTCTCATCTCCCATTGGCTGATGGATGGTTCCAATGTTCCTATGAGACTTGCTTGAAAAAGTTTAGAAAGTTGGAGCAGGTTCAAAAACATGAAGAGAAACATCCCAGTAAGTCATCTTATTTTATTTCATAACATGTTAAATTTTTGACTTAATTTGAATTTTTGGAGTTTTGAACAGATGCTTTTTGCAAATTTTTCATCTGAAACACGTTTTTTAATTTTCTAAAACCTGCAAAAATTATTTTTTCACCCAATTCAGTTGATAAAATCTATAAATGTGACTGGCCTGGATGTCGTAAGGCTTACATACATTATGCAAACATGTACAGCCACCGAAGTCACCATATCACTGCCAAACCATTCATCTGCCACGTCTGCTCGAATGCTTACTGGCAAAAATGTTCACTCAACAGTCACAAGGCTCGTGTTCATGGCATTAAAAATATTATCAATAACGTCTCTACTTCTGCTGCTGCTTCCAAAGACAATGAAGATGGTGACGATGGTGCTAATTTGAGTGATTACGCCCAAAATGAAGGCAGTGTTAAAGTTGATGAGAAGAAGATCAGTGATGAGTCTCTTCCTGGCTCTGCTGCTTCCGTGAAGGAGAACGGTGACTCCCTCAACCAGACAAGACAAAGCAGCACCGTTAAGCCTAAAAAATCGAGAAGTAAGAAGTCTAAGAAATCGATTGAGGTCATTGAACATGCAGAACCTGCTGTAGTAAAAGGGATGGATGAATCTATCAAGACAGCTGTTGTTGCTGGTCAGAAGGACGTCATATTGAATGACGACGATGATGACTCTAAAACAATTACATCCTTGTCATCAGAGCATGCCAATGACATATGTGCTACAACAGTTGAAACTCACAATAATTCTAACAAACAACTTTCATTTGAAAACTTGTTGCCGGTAGATACAGGCAGAATTAGTGATGACAATGCTCCTGGAACTGATCAATCTAAAAACAACGAAGAAGAAAATGCAAAAGAATTAAAGAGTAGAAATAATAAAAGAAAATATATTAGAAAATCTAAGCAAACGGATGAAAAAGCAAACTCTGTAAAAAGTAAAAATAAAAAATGCAAAAAAGCTAAACAGGAAATGGTTGCTGAATGTTTAATGGGTGACAAACAGTTAGATGTGCAACCTGTTCCCACTCTAAATGACAGTTCTGACAATACAGAAATTCAAACAGCTGAAAACTTTGAAAATATTCAAGAAATGCATGATGGGCAGGATGATGATCATTCTACCATTGAACCATCAGTTTCAGCAGTTAAAGAAAAACCTAAGCGAAGAACTAAGTGTCTGTTCAATTCAACAAAACGCAGAAAAAACAAGAGGCAAAAGAAGGAAGACCTCATAATTGTTGACATCCACGATGAGTACGTCACACAAACTGATTTCAATTATGCAAACGAAGAAAATGCAATGTTGGAAACTATTGCTGATGGTTCTGTTACTGTCTCAACAATAAAAGTAACAAAGGAATTTTTAACCGAATCCGTTAATGAAGTTTCAGACAATTTTGCTGTCAACCACATTATTCCTCCTTTAGCCAAGAGTGAAGATAATGAAACTGGGAAATTTAAAAATATTTATGAGTTTAATGAAAGCGAAAGTGAAACAACAGCCACATTCAAAACAACAGAAAGCAAGCAGAAAGTGAAAAAGAAAAGAACCAAATCCAAAGAAAAACCAAAATCTACAAAAAGCCTGCAACCCACATCTCCATCGCATCATCAGTCGATGGAGGTGGAAGAGAGCATCAACGTGGACTTCCTACCTTCAAGAGAAGGATTTGAACCGCAGAAAACCTACCTGGACAGGAAGAGAAACAACAGCATGAGAAGCAACGAGGAATCAAATAATCATTTCTCATCTGAAAGTGACATTGACTTCAAAGATTCCACCAGAACTAAAGCGAAATTAAAGCGTAAATTAAAAGCTGCAGATCTCAGCAGGCGAGAGGAAATATCTAGCAAGAGATTGAAATCAAACGAGACTGAACATCTCAACGTGATTAAAAGTAATTCAAAGACAACTGCTGCAGATTCTTCGGAATCCGATCGTTGTGGAAATGAAGGTAATGTCAACCCGGCTAGTACTGTTGCATCTCAAGACAATTCAGAACATATGAGTGGTAAAAAAATCGCAAAACGTCGTAAGAATGAGGTCGAGGTTCTTCTGGAAGACACCCTTTCGAGACCAGCTGAGAAGCATCCTCAAAACAATCGAATGAGCAGGAGGAACCAATCATTCAACTACGAGCCACACAGCAGTACTCGCCACAACTCAAAGAGTGAGGAAAATAAAGAGGATAAAAATCATTGCAAGAGTTCTGCTGCACCAGCACCTGCTTCTAATAAACCTGAAAATAAAAAAGCGGTTTCACATAAAGTTCACGTCTCGACAGAAAATTCTGAAGTCGATGCAAGTAAAATAATTGAAGCTGACAATGATAAAAACGCAGACAACATTTCGAACGTTAGTGACAGGCCATCGTCTGTAAGCAAATTAGCCAAAAGAAGAGCTGAGTTCACTCACGAAAGATTTTCTATTGATGCGTCGGATGTGAAAAATGCTGCTAAGGAAAAATTGTTAGAAAGTCTGCAAGCAAATGATGCGAACGATGTAGAACGAGAGCCATCGAGTGAAGTTGGTAGTAAAGTTGATAGTTTTAAAAATTATTCGACGATCAGCGGTTGTGAGGAGTTGGAGAAAGTACCAGCAAGTAGAGTTGATGAAAATAGCAAAACCAATGTTGCTGTACCCATGCATAATGACCCTGCAGGCTCTATTCGTTCACTGACGGAATCATCTTCGTCTCCAACATTTTCCAGTAGAAATCTGATTCTCAAACTGAAGATCAAAGAAGTTACAAGAACTAATCAGTCGGACCGCGATGACAACAAAGTTGTTACTTTGATGAATGTATCTAACCTGTCAGAAGTTAGTCAGCAGCATGACGACGATAACAGTGGTAACAAATCTGGAGCAACTCTTCAAAACAGTTTACAATTTGTCGTGGCTGACAGCACTTCCGAGCACCACAACGTGGAAGATTACTTTGAATCGTACAGACCCAGGAATACAGCAGTTGAATTTGATGCCGACCCTAACGAGCCTACAAACAACACTGGCTCGACTGGGGATAACGACAGCCAGCTCTCTCTCATCGACTCTCTAGAATATCTCAGAATAACTGAAAGTGTCAGACAAGTAGATAGAGAAATTGTCGCACCAGATGAAAATAATGGCGGTTCAGAAAATTGCGAGAAACAATTGAGTATAAACGCAGATGAGGATACGGCGACATCTGGTGACCACAAAATTATAGAAAACAAAATGGCATGTGTACCTGACAAGAACTTGCACGACGAGAATATCAGCGAGAGTAAAGTTAGGAAAGCGGACACACCTGCTGGCAATGAGGAAGAAGATAAAAACAACGTCCAACCGAATTACCAAGAGGGCAATGAACTGGAAATTGAGCGGTCTCAAAATGAACTTTGTGGCTCCAAATCCGATAGCGAGGATCAGCACTGTAAAGATGCATCCAGCAGGAATATTTTTGACAAAGATGGATACGGCAATAATTTCGACGATATGGACGATAATGAAGGATATCTGCGATCTGTAGAACCGCCTGCGACATGGAGAAATTACGAATACGACGATAATAATGCGTACCATCGCTCCTCTACGACGCACGAGAGTACGAAAGCAGACGAGGAGGAGTCAACGTCGAATGTGAACAGTCTTCAGCTCAACTCAGATGTTAACATCGATTACACTGAGGATGGCGGCCAGCAGAGCAAGAAGTATCACCTCTATCACCGCAACTTAAATCACTCTCCAGAATCTTATCTTGACAAAATATCCGTTGATGACGATAATAATAACAACAACAATAATAATAGTAATAATAATACTCACCATGCTGCAGTAGACCACCAGCAGCAGCAACGTCTGCACCACGAGGAATCAGAGCGCCAACAACGCAGCGTGTCCAATGATGACTCAGAAAGTAATGTTAACATCAACGACGACATCGTCGTCAGCAGCAGAAGTCCATGTCAAAAAGATGAAAATTTTGATCTAGTTAAATCTGATAGCGAGGAAAAAAGTAAAATTAATAACGATTACACTATTAACAAAGACATCGCAACAAAACAACTGGAAACTAATTTGGATCATAGCGAGCATTTTTCTCATAAGCCACTACCTAAACACACACCAGACGTATCATACCATCACAAACTTTCAGTGGAAAATTTAGCCGACGGTCAAGGTTACTCGTCCAGCACATCAATCTTACAACAGCTGACAACAGCGCCATCCTCATCTTCTTCATCCTCATTAATTCCGAGACCACCACCAACACCATCTGCCATTCCAACTTATCCTGGCGAATCTCAGAAGTACGATCTTGCTTCGGACAAGAAATTTCATCCATATCCAATGTCGAGCCTTGAAAGTTTAGCCTCATTGGCTCCACCGAATTCAAATTATTTTGAGAGTGATAGAAGACTGCCGTCGAATGACAGGTTGCATTCCGATGTTTCCCTGCACGCTCCACCTTTTCCATCAAATACTCCATATTCAAATTTTCCTAATTACGAAGCCATTCTATCAGCCAACAGACACAAGAGTTACCGCTACAACGACCGTCCATTTGACGCTTCAATAGCCGCTGCTTACGAGCGTCCTCATCCAGATTTTCACTACCCCCAACATCCTTCTCCGTACTATCACCACCACCCGAATTTTGCCACGGACCCGAGATTATTCAGCCAGTTCTTACAGAGTGCAGACCCGGCAGCCATCGACCACCAGCAGCGCTACTACGCCAGCCAACACGCGCAGAATCCTGGATTTGCAGATTTTCAGAGAGGAAGTAGTGCAGCGAGTAGTGGCGGCACAATGTTTCCAATGGACGGCAGACGTAGTGGTGGATTCCTGCCCGGAGGTTTGACTTCTGCTTCGTTCACGTCGCTACTTGCCGGATCTCCTTATCCCTCTTCTATTCACGACTCCTACCTTTCTAGCATCTACAGTCAACAATCGTACAACAATAACTTAAACAGCGCTGCTGTGGCTGGTAGTAGTAGTAGCAGCAGCAACAGCAATAAGAATGACCACTGGTCTCGTAACGAGAGGCCTTGGACAGCCGCACCACAAACCGATCTCAGCCTCTACAATCAGCAATCGCAACAACCACAGCAGCCGCCACAACTTAATACCAACAACAGCAACAACGCTGCTAATAATAACAACGGCAGCGTAGCTGGCGGGTCTCGCAAAACATCAATATCCTCAAATGAGTTCAATAGTCCGAATCACCAAAGTGTGACCAACACAGGCAGCAAGAAGAATTCATCGAGGAGCACCAAAAACCAGGACCAAACGTTTTATCCAGCAAGCAACAGCAGCAACAGCACCAACAACAGAAGTA